CAGTGAGGCCCCTGGGAGAGGGTGTTCTATTGTCTGCAGAACAAAGAGGATGTGGTTTTCACCACTTTGAGTCCCAACAATGTCCTCTTCACATACCTGACCAAAATTATCACCTGCCATGTTACACTGCAGAATGAAGCTATCTGCAGCGATCTGGCCGTGCACACCTTTGTAGGTCAGCCTGGTAACACAACCCCAGGCTCGGTAGGGACCCAGTCCCCGCCTTTGAGTCTGAAATTGATCAGCAGCTTGGAAAAGCAGATGCTCTGATCACAAAGGACCAGAGGGAAGCACTTCAGGAGCTATTTCACGTCTTTCAACCAATTTTCTCCCAGGACTCCCATGACTGTGGTGTCACGGATCTGCATACTCGCTGCATACCAACTGATCCAAATGTACCACTGTCCTTTGTATGTCAGTACAAGATTCCCTTGGCCGCTTACAAGTCAATCCAAGGGATCCTCGACCAACTGCTACAAAAGCATATCATTTGGGGGTGTAACTCCTCTTACAACTTCCCAATCTGGCCAGTACTGAAACCAAACGGCAAGTGGCACCTCACCATTGACTACCACTCTCGGAACAGGCAAGTCTCGCTTTCCCATTGGCCCATGATTCACCTAAACCAAGAGCTAGCTAAAGTGAAGGGAGCCTGGATCTTCTCCACCATTGATGTGGCCAACGGATTCTGGACCATGAAGGTCGACCAAGCGGACCAGTACAAGCTGGCTTTCTCTTTTGGCAATTGCCAATACACCTGGAAATGCTGTCCTTTTGGATATTCGAACTCTCCAGCTGAGTTCAATATCTTCCTCCACAAGGCTATGAGCGACGCCACCGCCTGCGGCAACCTCATCTATGTGGACATTATCCTGATGAGGAGTTGGACCTTCGATGAGCACCTGGTCGAAATTCGGCACATGATCAACCAGCTCTCTGCCGCGACACTAAGCTGGCACTTGCAAAGGGTCAATGGTGTCGAACCAAAGTTGAATATGTGGGACTGACAGTGGGTGCAGAGGGCATCGAACCCCAATCGGAGAGTTGAGACCATTCACAACATCATAGCCCTGACAAACATGTCTGAACTCAGAAGCTTCTTGGGCATCTGTAACTACTCATGACAATTATTTGAGGACTATGCAGAGATAGCCAGGCCCCTCACAGTGCTCCTCCGTAAAGACCGGCCATTTGCATGGAAAGAGCCTAAGGAACAATCCTTCTACCGCATGAAGGACAAAATCTGCTCAGCCCCCTGCCTGGCCTTCCCGGAAAAGGACAAAGAGTTTTACCTGGAGGTAAGTCTCTCCTCCCACTGCTTGAGTGTCACTCTTGCACAGAAATATGACACAGACAACGGAGTTGTCGCCTATGTGAGCCTAAGTTCTTAGACTGCGAGAGGGCCCTCTTCACCACCGTATGGGCTTTGGAGCACTTCCTTAGCTACATTGGAGGCCAGAAGGTTATTATTGAAACATGCCACCAACCTGTCATGCTATCACCCGCCAACAGGCACAAGAGAGGGAAGAGAACCCCCAGACCTGCATGCAACCTGTGCACCTCAGCTGGAAAAGATCCAGCCATCCAGGCCATCTGGTATCAGACCCTACGGCGCAGCTGACTTCCCCATCACCAGACGAGCCTAAGGAGCTGCAGGCTCTTCGCCACATCCAGCCCTAATTAAGGTTTGACAAGGGCCTCTTAGTTTATGTCCCTCACAGGAAGGAATCAGCATGGCTCATGCTCATGACTCACCCATTGGAGGTCACCAGAGCTACAAGGCCACTCTTCAGACCCTTCAGCAGGTTATCTACTGACTGTCCATGGCATGAGACACACAACTATACGTCCAAGGATGTCTGGTTTGCTGACCAGTGGCAAAGACTGGGATGTAAAACTTCCCCTGGTGCTAATGGCCATCCGGTCAACCCGCACCACTCCACAGGACTGACCCCCTTTGAGATAATGACTGGGAGGGAAAGGACTCTGCCGCTGCAACTTCTGTACTTCAGCAGATGTGAGCGTTGCAACAGCCTATACAGCCCACCAATATGTGAAAGATCTGAGCAACCATCTTCAGGTCACATTCACATGGGCCCAAAACAACTTGGAAGCCAGTATCAAAGGAGCCAAAGCTTTGAATGACAGGAAAGCATCCCAGCGTGAGTACCATGTAGGCAACAAAGTGTTCTATTTTCGGTTTGCCAATTCGATAGGACACTGGAAGAAGTTCTTACTCAGCTGGTCTGGTCTTGTGGGAAAGCTCTTTCCGGTAGCCTACTGGATAAAAGACTCAAAACCCAGTCAAGCACCAATGTACAAGTGGGTTCACGCAAACCAAATCAAACTCTTTCAACTATTCTCACTGCCAAAGGGAGAGGTAGCCTCCTCACCAGAAATGATGGAGCCATCCAAATCCCAAAGGGGGGAAGGGAACATGTAGTAGTTCCACAGAGACAGACGCATGCCCAAACCTTACCCGCCAGCATGCACTGACACATAACCCCACTTTCCCTTACTACAAGTAATTGAAACTCTGCTCTGTTCCACGATGAGACTCCCTTGAGTTCTTAGCATTCTCCTCTTCTTGCAAGTCGCTGTGCCCACTGAGGTGGTTGACCTCAGTCTTCCAACCGGTATCGCCCTGTGATAGAATCTACGTCGAATCTAAGTTTGACTAGACCCTTGGGATGTGTATCGCAACCACATCCGCCTGCCTCCACGCTTGACCAAAGCTAAATTAAGGAGGAACCCAAATTCATGACACAGTTGAGCATGCCAAACATACAACTGTTCATATCCTGGAAAAGCTGCAGAAATGTTTCGTGTGTGCCACTGCGGTTGGAAAGAGAACCGCTCAGTCTGTAACAAACCAGACAATGGGCATTCAGCTTCCCAGCCATACGTGCGCTCTCTGTGGTTCTAGGGTCTGCCGCTCTCCTCTCATGGTCGCCGACTCCGCCGCGAGTCACCTTTTCTATCCTTCCCCTCTTTCTCTCTCTCCACCAACACACACATTCAGATCTTCACATACACACTAGACATCTGTATTAGGAAAATATAGCACATTCCTCATTCTATCTGTGAGGGTCCTAAAATTCTATTTAAATCACAGTCACATAACTTGAGGTGCCTACACTGTTGATTTGTGCATTCTCATTATCCCATTCATGTCCACTTTCAACTTGGCTTAGTGCCATACAAGATAGGCATGTCGAGAGTAGTGACATATGTACTACAATTATACTGTGTATGAGTGTATAAAAGCAGACTGTGGTGAACATGCAGTGCGCTCTTGGTATACTTGGAACACTCTCTGATGTTGGCTGAGGCGTCCACTTGCAAGTGTCTGAATAAACTAGAAAGACCACTCTCTTGTTGTCAGAACTCTCTTTCCAGAAATTTCCCATGACATAGGGGTGGGCGATATGACGATATTAGATCGTGAAGGATTACAACGTGAAGACGATCTTTCAAACTGCAGAGATCGTGGGATCGTCTAGGGCACATTCTATAAATTGCAGTTCTATGCTGATGCACCGACACACCAGACGTATTGACGTCGTCAACCTGACCGACCAATCATAGCGAATTACGGGCAGTGACGCACTTTCCTACCCGCCTTCTTGTTTGTGTGTGTAGCAGTAGCACATGGAGAGCGATGGCTGAAAGCCAAACGGAGTCGGTCGCTAAAAAAAATTCCACCTCCATTATATGGAATTGGTTTGGATTTTCCGCAACTGATCAAGCGCAAGCAAATGTAATTTGCAAAGTTTGCACAGAAACCGTTCGCACGTCGGGTGGTAACACGACGAACCAGAATGTTGTTGTTGTTTACCTTAAACTTTACATTGTTTGCACATGCAGGCAAAACTGCGACTATTTGAAATAAAATCTGTTAAGAAAGGTTCTTTGGTCTAAATTGTCTGTTTTTCTTTTTCCGATTTAAGATCGTGATAACATCGAAATCGTGATTTTATTTTTAAAAAATCGTGATATGATATTTTTGCCATATCGCCCACCCCTACCATGACAACATCCTTCACCACTAGACACAGGTGGTGAGGATTTTAAGTTGGGTGAGCATAAAAGTGCCGACGCTAGTTGGCACTGCTTGTTGTTGTCTAGCAAGATAAACTATGTCCACCAATTTGGCTCATGTGACGTGACCCCTCATAAAGTCACATCCACCATCTTGGGTCTGTCTTGCGTGACGTCATTTTTCAGATCTCGTCTGCCATCTTGTCTCGAATTTAACTTTAGTGGTGCCCTGTATTTTTAATTAATATTAATAATTTTAATTAAAATAATCAATTCTTAGTTAATAATTCATGATTTTTAGACATAATAATAAATTATACTTAATAACCAAACACGTCCCTATCAGATGCAACTTCTTCTTCACTGAACGTTATTGACAATCCTGAACATGATAAGTGGATGTAGATGATGATAGATTAATGGATGGATAACAGTAACAAAACTGCATTCCTATATATTCTTCCTAAACTTCCCTTAAAAAACATAAAAAGAAAGCATTCAAGAAAGTTAACTCTTTTTGCTGACATTAATTAAAGACAAGGATCAATTAGCGATACCTTTCATAACGGTGCAAACACTGTGGGTGTCCTCTCTCTTGAAGAGTTTAAAAGAAGTTGAAGTGGAGTGTCAGCTCAGTTGGGAGGGACTCATAGGATGAGTAAAGCAGAACAATAGGTGAATGCTCAAATTCACTCAATGTCACAAATGTTTGATTTGCAATTTCTAATCTAAGTATTATATAGTTTTTGAAAAAGAAATGTTACGTTTGGGAATATATTTTAAAACTGTTTACATGATAATGAATCTGATCAGTATTACCATACTGTACTATGTCCACATGTGCTTGATGTTAAAGTTCCACACTGTACCAGCCCAGTCCATGTTTAAACTAGTTAAATTTTTACGAATCTATAACAAAGGCTAACCTTATTCTTTGTTGGAGTGCACAGTAGAGGATCATGATAAACTCTACACAGGTTTCATATTTCACTCTTACTGCCTACTTTGACACTGGGGCTTTAAAGTACTTATATTTCATAATTATTATGTCCTTATATATTTTTATAGTTTGTGCCAATGTTCTGCTGATTGTGGTTATCTGTCTGAACAGAAGCTTACATGAACCCATGTACCTGTTTCTGTGCAGCCTGTTTGTAAATGAACTGTATGGTAGTACAGGGTTGTTTCCATTCCTGCTGGTTCAGATCCTCTCTGACATTCACACTGTTTCTGTGCCTTTTTGTTTCCTACAGATTTTTTGTGTTCATTCTTATGGAGCTGTTGAATATTTAAACTTAGCCATCATGTCTTATGACAGATACCTCGCTATCTGTTATCCTTTACAATATAACACACGTATGACATTTAAGAAGATTGCAATGCTTATTGCTTTAACATGGTTATATCCTTGTTTTGCAATGGTTGTTTTGTTATCTTTGACTTCACCTTTACAGCTGTGTGGGAACATAATTTACAAAGTATACTGTGATACCCACTCTGTTGTCAAGCTGGCTTGCCCCAGCACCAATGCTATTAACATTTATGGACTCATTGCAACTTTTAGCACAATCTTTGGTGCTTTACTTTTAATCCTTTACACTTACATGAAGATTCTCCTAGTTTGCTCTTCTGGTTGTAAACAGACTAGACAAAAAGCTGTCAGTACCTGCACACCTCACCTTGCATCTCTGCTCAACTTTTCTTTCGGGGCTAGCTTTGAAATCTTACAGAGCAGGTTTAATATGAGTAGTGTACCTAACATGTTGCGAATATTTTTATCGTTATATTTTCTTACATGCCCACCACTCTTCAATCCTGTATTGTATGGCCTGAAAATGTCCAAAATCCGTGTCATATGTAGGAGTCTGATATAAAATGTAGACTATTAAAATTAAGTTGTCCAACAAGTTCTTACCTACATTTATCAGAACACTGTAATATTTTAATATTACATTGTGTATACTACATACTATAAATGATGGATACATACTGTATATCTACTGAAGTATCTCAGACTTGCACAACTAGATTCATTTTTTCTGCACAATATACAGTATACTTGCATAGATATTTCACAGAGAATGCAATTGTTTTAACTGATGAGACTTTTGACTGTTTTGTAATCTTGACATTATGTTATGTTTTTAATGTACATTCAGGTCTGTCTTGAAAATGAGATTTCTATCTCAATGGGATTCACTTGAATGAATAAAGGTTAAATAAATAAATAAATATTTGCACAAGTCATGAAAATCATGTTGGTTACCTAAGCTCTCATTTTATTCATTAGTTTCTTTTAATTTCATTGTAAACACTTTTTGGCCTGTTTCATATAGACTCATCCTGTTCTTATGTCATTGTAACACTTGAATTTCTTGTTTTTTCTCAAATATAATCAGCAAATAACACATTTGACCAAGTCACCATGTCAATCCTAAGGTTACTCAATACTGACAGGCCAGTTTCCCTGACTTTAATCAAAATAAAATAATCTTAGACAATGATAATGCTACAAGTTGAAGCAGAGGTCAAACCCTCATCTCAAGCCAGGTAAAAGCACAGATTGAAATTTTATCCAACTGCTGAAAACCCAACAGAATACTCAAAGATCCAGGCTTGACTGCTCTGTGTGGACTTGATAAATATATTTTATACAATTTGGCATCCAGAAAATGGGGGAGATGAAATAAAAGGTAGTTTACAGAATATGAAGTTAAAACACTGCATGGTTCATGCATTCACTCATGCATTAGAGTTACTAACATGCTAAATGCTGACTCTGACATCTAAGGTTGCAAGTTTTGTCCACTGCTTTGACAAACACCATTTGCAATTTCACACTAACCTATCATTAGTGAGCACAGGAGTATGATGAATCACACTTGCTATGATCTATGATATATCCTGTGTCACAATAATTATTTTCTAAATATCCAGTACATGGGCATACTGTCAGGCAGGGACTCAAGGCAGGACTCAGATGCAGAGAATTTGAAAACAATAGGCTTTATTGAAAACACCGGTGACCTCAGACAGAGTGAAAAATAAATGGCTATGATAATACTAGTCCTAACCTGACTCACGGAGGAAGTCACTAAATTCAAAAGTCTAAGAGAAAACAAAATCACTCCAGAAGGAGGAAAAAACTCTAACCAAAAGTTACGAACAAAAAAAAAATCACTCATAAAGAGGAGAAACAAAAGACTATGAACATTAGCTATGGCAAGAAGTTATAAACAAAAAATCACTCTTCACGAGGAACAATCGGCTTACTTGGAATAACACAAGGGCTGTGGGCATGGACAAGGGCTTGGGTGCAGGTCAAAGACGAAGACACTCTGGCACAAGACAAGGGGAACACAGACTATTTAAACACATGGAGGGAGATAGGGCACAGGTGGAAACACTTAGGGCAATCAGACTGAGACACATGAGGAAGGGCAAGTGACCTGAAACGAGAGGAGAAATAAAACAGGAAATGACGAGACAAAACAAAACCAGGACAAGACAACCTCACCACGGTGTAACACATACAACATATGTCTTTAGGAATGTGAACCTTTTCCCAAGGTCCATCTTCAATCATGTGCTATTGCTAGGACTGCTGTCCTCTCTGATGACTTATCTTCCTTTTCCCTCAGCCTGAGGAAGTTGAAGCAAAGGCCTCTGGTTGGGAAATATTCTTTAGCCTCAACTTCTCTAGTGGGCCAACTGGACCAAACCCTAATTGTGGTGTCATCTAAACTTCACATCGCGGTTTGGCCAGAGGCGCACCATCAGAAGAAATAAACCAGGCAAACATTTGGTTAAAAAGGGGCCCCCAATAGCCCCCTTTAAACCTCTCATAAAGGCACTATACAGTGCACTCCCACAGCCCCCGGAAACCCCTTAACTGTTTATTTGTATTTCTCCAAGATATTGCCAATCCTGAATTCCTCATCAAGCAGCAACCTCAGGGGCTGAAAAATGAAGCCAACATCAAAGTGCTTAAAACTGCAGTTCTTCTAATGGCCACTTGAGGCTTCCCAGTGTTAAAGTGCCTTACTTCACCAGAGTCTAAGAATGCCACTGGTTTTGGCACACAGCATGCTGTAGGGAATTTCTGTTTCTGAGTTTTCATCTACAGAAACTTGGTGTGGGCAGGACATCATGGACAAATCATGGAGAAAAAGGGGGGTTGTGAGCAGTGGGAGGCAATTTGTGGTGGTTTTCATTATCTACAGCACAAGACTTTTGGACTGGGTAGACCACACTTCTCAGGGGCTCTCAGCCATGTGTTTGCATGAGGTAGTAACTACTTTCCATTCTACCTCTGAGTTTGGCTCGTTATCCCCTCCTCGGGATCTTCACAAGCTTTAACAGTTTAACCTTGCGAGGGGTTTTATCGTTGCTGAGAACAGGACAACTGATGATGCATCTAGTAAATCAAGCATCAAGTGAAGTATGAGTACACTCAAAAAAAGGAAACTAGAGGGCTGTTACATCAACTAAAGTCTAACATGTATTGTGTAAGCTATAATTTTGTGTTTCCAATATGAACATGATTGAATCATGTCGGGTTTGCATGAAATCAAACAACTAAACATTCACTTGATTCATCCATGTTGCGGTAAAGTAAGGCAATCGCATTTGTACGGGTAGGCACGAAAAGCAAAGCGGTCATCGCGAGAAGACATCACAACTCGACACTTCATCCAGGGAAACTTGGACTTGGGAAGAGAAGGTCGGTAAAAAGGTAAGCTGAAATCTATTATCGTCCATCTAATTGCAAACGTGATATTATGCATAAATGTAATCAACAGTTAGTCCACCATTATTCGGCGATATTTGGTCACGATAGTTTGTCATTTAACATTAAACATAAAAAGTCAACAGTCACCATGTGCATGGCTAATGCCTCTTCTCTATCATGGCTGTGTTGATGGTTACAAATGGGAAAACTCACTGGGAGGAATAACATAATTGTGATTTCACTGCTGAGTTACCGGTAAGTGCGGTTTGCAGTGGAATTATGTGCACGTTGTTTAGTGTATTTCACAAGTCCAAATGAGCATGCACGCACGGCGTGTCACAGCTAATCACAGATATCTTGATTTTCACTCCTGGGGTGCGGTTGAGAATAATAGAATCGAAATGCGATAAAACGTATTTGTTTATGAAAATAATTTGTTTTCAAAAAGCACGTTTTTCACTATCAATCATTACTTGCTAATTTCACCTTCATCGACATTAATTAGGGTTGGGCACCGAGAACCGGTTCCAAATAGGAACCGGTTCCTAACATCCGGTTCCGGAACCGTTAAGAAGATGTCCAACCACACCTGTGTCTGCCATTCAACTGCATAGGTGCCTGCATCTTTTCTGGAAAAGGTATGAAGTGTGTGTGTTGGGGGGGGCTTATTTTCCTGTTTTTTTGTCCTTTGCCAAAAGTAGCCTTTTCAGTGCAGGAGTATTTCTACTTACACATCCTGCGTGAGCAGCACATGTGTGTCATCTAGAGATTAGGAGTCTTGCATATTTTTTTCTGCCTGCCTGTTCTCAGCAAAAATGCATATTGAAAATTATTTCTTGGTAGTCATTTTGACATACCAGCATACACCTACTTAAACCTCACAAATATCCATCTGTATATAATCTGTATATAGTCTGTCTGTGAGCTACCTGTTCCACTCATCCAGATCTAGGTCTGTCAGTGATTACTTGCTATCTTTCATGGGCATTAATTTATTGCTCTCTCAATTTATCACAGCAATTTCTGACTGAGTGTCCTGTCCAACCACACCTGTGTCTGCCGCCTGACCACAAGAGTGTCCTGTCCAACCACACCTGTGTGTGCCGTCTCACTACATCAGTGCCTGCTCGGAAAAGGGGTCATCGTGCCAGACCTGGAGGTGGTCGGCCAAAAACAGTGAATATCTTCAGGTTGGGAGATGTGGAGGTGTAAGGAGTGTAATGTCCCTCTATCTGATAGATGTGAGCTACTAAAACATATAAGACTAGAGCACCGTCATAGGCAACGCTACCCATGCCCACACACAAACTGCCCATGTACTTTTAAGACATGGAATGCTTTGCACATTCATTTAAGTAGAGTCCATCCTAAACAAAACTCACAGGAGCTGCTGGAATTGTCAACATACAGTTGTCATTTGTGCGTTTGTAGTGGTCTTCCTACAGAGAAAGATTATTTTGTACACATTGGCACTCATTTGAAGAGTAATGAAACTGTTGCTTGTATATTTGGGAGTTGCAGTTTTCAAACAAATGTATATGGAACATTTCACTCTCACAAGAATAGGAAACACAACCCACATACATTGAAAGATTTCAAGCCAGGTGTAGTTACAACCACTCGAATTCCACAAGAAGCCTCTAATAATACTGAGGAAGAGGCTCTTAATCAAGATGACTATGCAGTTGAAGCAGACAGTGCATGTTCAAGTAGTGATGTAGATGTAACCAAGAACCTGCCTGCAGTAATTGAGCAAAATTTTGCTGCAGCGTTGCTCAAGTTGGAGCATTTTGCACATGTGCCAGGTGCAAGAATTGACGAGTTGTTAGAGGAACTGCACTACTTGCAAAGTTCAGCAACATTACCCCTCTCCATTAACATTCTTGAAGGCGTATTTCAGAAACATAGTCCCACAACTGATAAGTCTGTGATAACAGAAGTAGCCACTGCTCTCTGTGCATCTAACCCATTGCTCAAAGCCATAGGGAAGGGTGGTCCCCTGAGCACATCTTATCTCCGCAATCAGTATTATAAAGAAAGCTTTAAGGTTGTAGAACCCATTGAGTACATACTTGATGCCAAGGAAAAAAGAAGTTTTCAGTATGTGCCTGTACTGAAGTCTTTGCAGCAGCTCTTTGATAG